TAGGCTGTGGGGCATTCAACCTCAGTCCGTAGAATTGCCAATGACGTAGCCTTCTTTGTTTGAAGTTAGCTGCAAGTTTTCATAGGACGCAGTAGACACTCAGTATCATTCACTGTTCATTGGTTACTGCTGCTACTGCTTAAAAAATTAACTAATATATAGTAGAAATATAGGTAACATTTCTTATAACATGCATTTTCTGAATGTCGAGAATATTATGAATTTTACTAAAATAGCTTGCCCTCAAGGACGATTCTCTCTCCTCCTCGTCCTCCTACATGGTTTCGAAGTAAGAGTATACATTTAATTCCTGCAAGTCTTAGCAGGCCGTTACTTAATCAAGTTGTGTTCGCCCAACGTTTCTCCTAAAAGTTACGTGGCGTTCTCGAGAACTTTCCTTAGATCTCGGTCGTAGATTCTTCTAGATTTCCGGCCGGCCTATTACCACTTCAGATTACTAATCTATTTGGTTTTATTGGTTACACTGGTTCTAGTAACGATATCAGCATGCATTATTTATGTCTCTTACGTGAAAAATTCGAGTAGACGATCTTCTTGTTTTGCTAACACCCAAAAACATAAGTATGATAGTGTCCTTCGGGCCAAATTGTAGTATTGACGCCTAGTCTAACGAAGACTAGCTATCTGCAAAGGACAAATTATAAAGCTCTCGATTCCATTACTCTCATAGGGGAAAGATTAAGTGCATAAACAACCTCTGTGCCTCAGAAAGCAGCTTTACTTAGAAAATGTCTTGACATAACTACTCAGTAAAAGATTCTGGCCTTATTCGAGATTTAATTTCGAAACCACATGATTATCTGTCATGATTACAACTAGCTAAAGGAGGCAGTCTATAGATAGGCATGATATTCGTAACTTGAATCGTATATACGTTTAAATTATCATGGTAGGGGTGGAACGCTCTATTGCCTTGCCGTATTGATTCCATCGCCTTGATGCGATCTCGGCCGCGGATTCCATTTCACAAACGATTTAGTCATTGAAAATATATTACTTGTTTCACATCGCATGTGAGTAAACAGTTTCGCGAGAAACGCTACACAGAAAGCTAAACATTTATCCAGATGTGGTTTTGTTCTCTCTCCGTCTTCTTTAACATTACCTTTACTATTACAGCCAATAAAAAGTCCACTGCTTAACAACCAATCTACGGCGGGGGTCTGTCCTCCGTAGATTGCCTCTTAGAGGGATTTTTTAAATAGAATAAACGTGACGAACGTGCACACATTTTATCTCGTGGAGATTGAGCTGTGCCCGATAAACATCTATATTTGTTCTCAATTAACAATCAAAATGCTGATGCGTTTTATACGAACAATAGCGGCATGAAGTTGCTATTTTATGTTGTTATTGCGTGTTTCCCGTTCAACCTAACCCATTCGTGATATAACCATAATATACTCGTAGCTGCAACGTGGCCCTACCATGTAAAATATATTTGCCAAAGATGTCGAGTTTGGCAGCTGCGTTGGCAACCACAGTTTACAATTTTTATTTTGTTATTATAAGGAATCTGTTGTTGCCTATTTCTTGGTTGCTTTACTATGTTACTTCTTACAACACCCACGGGATGATATTGAGTAGGATATTCTTAAACCGTCATTACACATTAGGTTCTCCAATTTTTTAACAGATTTTTCATAAATTTACTATAAAACCGATAGTTTTTGCGTTAGCTCATCATAAGGGTATATTATAAGTAATATGAACGACGAACAGAAATTTACTGCAATCTCTAGAATATCATATTAATAAATTTCTTTTTTATGACCTTTAATAGTTCACTGCTGGAGTTTGGTCTCTCTCCATCACTGGAAGGATGAACGAAAATTGGGAATGACAATGCGGCTAAACTAAACTGTTACGTTAAAGAGTAGGATAACTAGACCGTGGATGATCAGCGAGGGATTCTCCGTCACCAGGGGTGCTGGTACCCTCTTGGTGTAGTTCTTCATTTAATTTCGCTACCATGTTAAGGAAGGGGGGGAATTGGGCCTCGCCTACCTGCACTCACAAGCGAAACGCAGAGGTAACTCTACTTCACGCTGGTATTTTGTGAGGTCGTGGTACCCTGTCCACTCTGTCATAAGCCTTTTCCACAAAAACCTCTTTGTTTTTTTGGCCGAAAGCTTCTCCGCGATCATGCGAATGAAAAAAACTTGATATGTACATCCCATTGCCTTTCTATATCCCGATCACAGATACCATAATTTTCCATCAGTTTCTTTTATTACAAAAAAATGTAATTAATGCCGTAAAAAAACAACTTTTACGGCATTTAGAACACCAAGATTTCGTATTTCAGAAACTCCTTTAGTTGTTTTCCCATCAATACTTGTGTTAAGATCGGTCAAAGTTATGCCCTGTACCTGATATTTCGAACCTCTAACTATAAAATCCGATTTTTAGGGTTAAAGAGGAATTTAGGGAGGGAGGACCAAAAACTAATGCGTTGAAGATCTTGGGATTTACAGTAATATATGTATATGTTTATAATCAGCATAAATACGGTATTTGCAGTTTTCAAGATCCGTTGTTATATTGGAATTATAGATAATGAAAGAAAGGAACCTAAAAGAATTCCTGAGGAACACCTTTATCGCCAGGATGAAGTTTGGAAATATAGTTTGCGCCATCATTCCCGTAAATTATAAATTGTTGACAATTATTTAGATGATTCTTAAATCAAAACAGTGACAATTAAAAATCTGTATTAATCTAATGAAATGCTCTCGAAAAATCTAAAAGAGAGAGCATTTTTACTTTAGCGATAGCACGTCATCCATGTCATTAATAAGGGCTTAGCCACAGCCCCCACGTGCTTGTCCTGAAACCTAAATGTAACTTCTTTAGTATTTTTTTGAATTTACAGAAGTGTAATACATGAAAGTGTATAACTTTTTAATAGTTTTGATAAAAAGGCTAAAATACTAATAGGCCTAAGATCGCTTAAATCAATAATTGCGTTGACTATTGAGAAGGAAAAACTAATTATGCAACAAAACTATTAACTATTGCTGTAATAATTTTTAATGTTTATTTAGATTAGCTTTAATGTGCCGGAGCTACGTTTCGAACTTTTTAAAAAGTAGATTGAAACAAATAAGTATTGTTCATGTGTGCAATTTTAAGAAGGTAACGAATAATTTTATCAGGGCTATTAATATAGTATGGGTATCTGGTAAATTGGTCGAATTTTAAATAAAGGTAATGATGTTAGGGTTTTCCATAAAATGTTTGCTTTATGGAGGTTCTGATTAACAGTCAAAATATGCTTTCTTCTCAGTATGAAGACAGCTAATAATTAGCTTTTCAGATATTTGTATTGAGTCTTGTTACTTACAGATTTTGTTTGTCGATATTTATTATGAGCTATGTCACGCAGCTGCATCATGAACCAAACATTACTGGTGAACCGACCGCTTATTTTTTAAACGTTACTAATTTCTCAGAAGAATTCTTATCAAATAAGTTTAAAATATGTTCTAAAAACACAAATACCATTTGATATTATGATAGTATTAATTTAAAAGTAATTATAATTCGATTAATTGATAATTATAGCTTCCAATTTATAGTTACGACACCCAACTTCTGTCAGGTAATTATAATTCGATTAATTGATAACTATAGCTTCTTATTTATACACGACGCTGAAAAAGAAACGACAGTTTAAGCGAAAGAAGGAGCGAAACATGCGTATTGATATTGTTAATAGGTCTTACAATTTGATGCTTTGGTGGTATCTTAGGTTTTTTAATTAAAGTCAACCAAAGCAAAAGCCTGCCTCCTAGTTCTGAGGTGTGTTTCACAAAAGTTTTGGAACACGTTATGACTAGGATAACTAAGTCTGTGTGTGTGTCACTGTGTTTTATGAATTTTTAGGTCCTGATATACATTTACATGACTTAGTATAGCTGTGGCGTTGTTTAGTACGTACGTAGGGTTTTATTACCATTATTATCCAAAATATTAGTGTTAAAATTACCTAATAATATAAAGCAATCAGTGTGAACATAATGATTTCTAAAATTTACGCGAACACAACACTTTGAATAAAACTATTATTTTCGGATTTTATCGCGTTTAATTCAACTTTAATTTATTTTTATTATCCCGACGTTTCGGGTGCTTTACAGCACCCTTGGTCACGGGGGGACTGAGATATTTGACGTCCCTATGTGACCACGGGTGCTGTAAAGCACCCGAAACGTCGGGATAGTAAAAACAAATTAAAGTTGAATTAAACGCGATAAAATCCGTAAATAACAGTTTTATTAAATCAGTGTGAAGTTAAAGTGTCGGTGAGAGATAAACACATTATTCACGTTTACCCATTGTGGTCAAAATGCTATAACAATTAAGAATATAGTCTTATTTACGGTTACCAATATCCATTGCTGCTTCTTTAAGCTAAAAGAACAAGCAAACGATAAGTTTCTCGAGTGGCTGTTTCGTGTAGGCAGGCGAACTGTAGGGCGGATTCCACTAAATAGAGTAACGAACTGGTAAGAAATTTAGGAAGAAAGTCAGATTTAGATAGTTTGCCTTCGTGTTTTGTTGATATCCTTGGGAGAGGCATATGTTTAGCTGTAGAATTGTTTACATAAGAAGTAATTTTATATGCAGCTTGTATCCTGCCGCATTATAAAATTCATCATCTCCTCTCGTTATGTTGGTATCATGACAGGCATGACTTGATTGGTGCAAAAATGTTTTAGTATACAATTGGGAGAAAATACCCAGCGCACATTCAACCGAAACATTAAACACAACTGAACATTGCCTTGAAACTAGTAACTGAGGCGGATTTAACACCGTCATCATCAATATGGTAAGTATCACCGTCTCTCACAACAATTGGGTGAAAATTTATTTGAATGCTAAATAAAAAACATTACATTATTTATTTATGTTAAACAATTTACCAAAAGTACTTATTACACATAGTATATATTATGTACATAAATAAATTTTTAGTTGCAATCTTTCAAATTAACACATTTCCCGGTCTGCGTATTACGCACCGTCGGAGGGTTGCAGTAACAATCATAGTAGTCGCAAATATTGATAGTCGTGTCTGGTTGGGGATTGGGTTCATAACACGTTGGTTCTCGAGTCAAATAACCACAACCAGTGGCGTAAAAGTAGGTGCCTTCTTCACAATCTCCAGTGCCTGGAACACAATGAAATTAAAGCAATATGTGGTACCTACATATGTTTCAATAATATTTATCAATTTTCGCCTACCTATTTTAGTAATAGGTTTAACATTCCGGCTAATAATAACATTTATTTTATTGTACCATTGTCAACAGTTATTTTAAGGGCTGGTAGACATAACCCGTTCATGAATTTTCCAAGACATTTTATTTTAATTTTCACAAAGAAATTTCCTATTATAACATCGTTAAAACATTGGTATTGTAAAATTTATCACCGATTACTTAGTAACTGAGAGATCAAGAAAAAAGAAGTGGTTGCCTTTCGAAGGTTGTTACGGAAGGGAAATTCTAAGAATTTATTGAACAGAATAAGCGAATTCGGAACGAAGAGATTTTGCACATATTGCAGATTGAATTGAAAAGCATCCATCAGATTATACACGAACATCTTCGCGTGAGAAAAGCAGAGAAGATATTTGTTGCTAGTTTTTTTTTAACTTTCACTGGGTATCTAGTGTTAAGTGTAGTGTCCTTTACGAAATTGAAGGAGAACAAATTAAAAATTGAATTTTACAACATAAACAAATTAGAAAGTTATATTTTACTATATAAACAAAATTAAAAATTACAGGATTATTAATAAAATAGTCCAATAGTTTGACTTTTATACTCGTTCAGGTTATTATTTATTTGAGGGAAAAAATTGGGTAACCTCATAACTTATCTTTGGTTATTTTGATGATTCTTTGTCTGAAAGCTGGTGCTTTTCTTGTGTCTCATATATATTCAAATAATAAAGAACAGCCCAGTAGTTTTTAGTTATCTTTAATAATGCGTATTTAATTGACGTTGAATACATTCTTGATTCTCTCATTTCAGTTATATTGAAATTAGTTCTGTAAAAATTTTAATTTTACCATAATACATACATAAACACTCACGCCTGTCACCCAGAGGAGTAGGCAGACACTACAGACTTTCATTTGGCACGATCCTGACACACCTCTCTCGCCTCCTTCACATCCATATACCTTACCATTTTTGTTTGCATTAGATAAGAAGAGATATACAATATTTTATTTTAACATATTTACGGACTAAACATAAAAATCGATCAATCAAAGAAATTTTTACTTGCTCCTTCCCTTTTTATTATATGCCAATTGAAGGAGGCAGGTGTATACATAATTCTGCTCAATACTCAGTTTAAGTAAGTGATATTCAAAGATTATAATTTAGGGCGTTAGATTTTCTGTACAAAAAACAGTCTAACTGATTTATACAAGGAATTGGCTTTTATAAACTTATATGAATTATTGTCATTGTTTATTCATAAGCGCTGTTGGTTTTCTAAATAAGTAAAATAAAATAAATAAATGGAACTTACACTCTCCAGCTCGACGAATGCAGTCAGCAAATACCATACTGATTATAAAAGACAAGAAAGCAAAACCCACTGGCGTCCTCATGTTTGCAAAACTAACGACTGATCTTTATTGCTTGAAACACTTTGAAAAATTTGTTCTTTGATTTTTATAGCTTAGACTATCAGTAATGCTATGATTTTTGTATTTTATGATTAACATATAATCGTTTTTTAATTAACTTTATCATTAACTAATTATTTTATAGTGTAGTTCGTAGTGTTAAAATTATATTAATTATTGTTAAGTTTTAGATATCTTGTATTTGTACGTAGCATTGTAAGTCAAAAGCGACACACAATTATAATACGCCACTGCTCAAGTATCACAGACTTCAGAAAAGTTATAACTTATATATGTCCCACAGCTGGGCAAAGTCCACCACTCGCTTCTGTGAGGGTTCTAGAGCAAGAAAGTGAAACCGGGTTACTCGCGTGCTGTGAATTTTACAGAGAGCGTCAAGCCCCTGAGCTACCACGATTATACCATGACATAATAACATAATATAACATAAACACTCATGGCTGTAACACAGAAGGGTAGGCAGAGACTACAGATTTCTATTTGGCACGATCCTTACCTCTCTCGTCTCCATCACATCCATATTACTACGCATTCATGCTCGTCGGTTAAGGGTGCTACTAATTTGACCTATTTTCATATTATCGCCAATTTGGTCGATAAACTTTCGTTTAGGTCGTCCCTTTCTGACTCTGTCGTTCAATTCTGTAACATAAATTTGCTTTGTCACTATTTCCTTATTCATTTTTTCTACATGACCAAACCACCGAAGCATTCCTTACATAATCCTGGTCAAAATATCATCTTGCAATCCCAAATTATCCTATCACACAATTTCTCACCTTTTCACTCAGATTCAGCCATTACATAATTCTTAACGACAGTATTTCTACTGTATTTATTCTGCTCTCGTGCTTCTTCTGTCACACCCAACTTTCACTACTATTAGTTAAAGTAAGGATTAAAAAAGCATTAAGAATTGTCACACGTGCCTTTTTGATACATTCTGACTCTTTACAATAAAGTGTAGAGCCTCATTTACTCTATTTACTGCGTTTACTCGTCGTTCCATATCCTTATCATATCTCCGATCTCTGCTAAATATGCATTATTTATATATAAACTCATATACTTGATCGATCAACTCCCCTTCTATTCTTATTTCACATATCATTTTACTCCCTTCTCTTTCAAAAACCATAACTTTCGTCCTACTTGCGTTCACAGTTATACTCCTTTCTTTAACGACCTGTTCATTAATGCAACCACTATTTGCAGCCGCCGACGACGCAAATATAACTTGATCATCGGCGTACAAAAGTCATTTGACGGTTAACTCACCCATTCCTAATCCGCATTATTGAACTTTCAAATTTTCCAAAAAAAGTGTCCACAAATAAGTTGAAAAGTCACGGGAAAGCCACACAACCCTGTCTGACATCTTTATGGATGCCAACCAGTCCGAGTAGACCCCTTCGATCCTAACACAATAACTGGAGTCTCTATAGAGTTATTAAAAATCTATTGTTTAAAATAGATTACCTCATAGGGGATAGTTTTGCCATAGTTGCCATACTTCGCAGGCGGGTTGGCAAATGCGTTCTTTATTTTCTAGTTTTTATTAAGAAGGTGCTGCCACCCATCTTCTGATTTATTTCCCTCTGTCTCTAGCGTCACACTCGGGACCATATGGGATAGTGAATTTTCTTGCACCGTCACAACACGGGATATCTATCGGATGTTATTAGATTTTTCTGTCAAGACCCATATCGCCTCTAAAGACAACGAAGAGAGAAAACGGGATGATGATGATGATGATCTCTTACACCGCCATCACACTTACGCAAGGAGAATGGGTACTGCAGACCATTGACACTTTAATTAAATGTATATAAAATAATTTTTATGGATTTTATAGCTTATATTAACTTATAACTTATTTTACTTAAAAATATACTTAAACTGAGTTTTAATTATCTCTTTACCTGTCTCCTTCCATTGACATTAAATAAAAATGGAAAGAGCAATAGTAAAAATGTTTCTGATCGATCGATTTTTATGTTTAGTCCGTAAATATGTTAAAATAATATATTGTATATCTTACACATTTCTTATCTAATGCATTGACACACAAATATTTCGACCAACAAGTGGTAACGTTAAAAAAATTGTACAACCAACTTCTGAATAGTTAAAATGGAAACATCATCAATGAATTCGAAGGCAATTCATTAGGAATTATTAAAAATAACTCAAAAACTACTGGTCTGTTCTTAATTATTTGAATTTGTATAAATAATCAAATTCGATTCACTGAGAGAAAAGTTATGAGGTAACACACATAAAAAAGCTTACAGTGTAATTTAATATCTCTTACTTTTTGAAATCGGTAAAAAGGGCCGATTTTACAATCTAGGAATTTTTTCCATCAAGGAAATAATAACCTGAACGATTATAAAACTCAGATTATTTTACTATTTTTTAAATAATACTGTAATTTTTAATTTGTTTATGTAGTAAAATACAACTATTTAATTTGTTTTTGTTGTAAAAGAACAATTTTTTTTATAAAATAGTTCTATTGTTTATATTTTATTAAAAGAGGCGATTGAAAATTTTACTCTATTGTAAATAAATTAAAAACTGAAGAAATTAATTTTTATTCGTTAAAACAAAAGTAGATTATTATCGGGTGAATAATCGACACCGAGCGTTATGGATTTTTTTTAATGACTGAGTAACAGTCCGCCTAATTTACCGTTCTCTCCGAATTTCAATCACGTTAGCTAGTCTCATAAAAAGAAAATGTCGTCTGCGCAGAATTCTGTTGCAAAATTCTTTGTGCAAATACTGGAACACTTTATTTTCTTACTCTCATAGCCCATTTGGACGGGAATCAAACCCAAACGTAAGAATAATGCGTAGTACCAATGGCTTTATGGGCTCTCCAGGCACCTGGATGAAACTGGTTGCTACTAAAAATTTCTTGACAGAAAAAACAATAATTTAGTTCGGAATTAGAACCCAAGCCCACACTTTCAGCGGTTACAACTAAATCAACAAATGAGGTCACTTAAGGGTCAGTGACTACCAAAATTTTAAGAAAATCTCTAACCAAAGAATACATACGAAAATAATATTGGTGTGGTCAAGCTACTTTGCAGTTATGCTATGGTTGTAACACGAATGGGTTGGTTCGACTGGGGTAGGACCACGATCTGACAAAATACTAGAGTAAAATAGCAGCTTAATGTTGCTGTGTTTCTTATGGCGAGTGTAGAATGTAGTGTACCATTACTAGAAATGAGGCATTCCATCTCAGTCCTCAGTAATGACAACGCATTCGCATTTTGATTCTTAAATGCGGATAAATGGGTCACAGCGATTACCTATCATCATCATATCCATCAGGTGGACTGTGTGATCTTGGTTCCTTTACTCCGTGTTGCTTTTCGGATTGAAAAACAACAAAAAGTGTATAGCTGCTGGGTATGAGTGTAAAATACACGGATACCTGGACAAAAACAAGCCCTACTAAATTGTAATTCGATTAAATTTGTAAGGAATCATATATTGTACTGCAACTATTTTTTTCATAACTATTGTCACCATGAATATAGCCCATAAAGTGTTCACTACTGAACATAAACGAACTGCTAGTTTTAGCATAGCATTGGATTGCTATAGTGACCATGCTTGTCAGGCGGGTCGGCAACTTTTGGTATTGTTTTGTTCTATTCTGTTACTAGGAAAATGCTGCAATGCATCTCCTATCACATTATTCCACTATCGTCTCTAATGAATCTTTTTAGTCGATATGGGATGATGGATACTATTGCGTCGCCTTATGCAGCATTAGTACAGGCAAATTATTTTCATCCTCGGCTTATCTCGCAGTATCACAAGGGGAACGGAAGAAAAAAATAAAAAAAAAACACAGACAAAGAAAAAAAAAAAACCAACACACCCAAGCAAAAAAAAAACAGTGCATGATGCAGCACTATTTGTCTTCCACACATGCAGATTTCACGCACACAAGTACACTAATCACGCAATCGCTACTCTAATGTATACTATATTATATATGATTTAGACAGATAGACAGACAACATTTTGAAAAAAAAATGTTTTGGCATATGTATCGATAGTATACTATACCACCAATTCAAATTCCAAAAAAAAAAATTTTATGTAATCATCTGTCTGTCCGTTTGTTCCGGCTCGTCTTCGAAACGATTGAACCGATTTTGATGTTATAAGGATTAAATTAGGCTACTTTTATTTTAAAAATGAATTAGGGTTCCGCCCAAAAAAATTAAAACTCATGAAATCCAATAGCATTAAATTCCACACAGACGAAGTAGCGGGCACAGCAAGTAATTAATGAAATTAGATTCCAACACAAGCATACTCCTGCAAGCCTTCAAGATACTATAAATTTTTACTGCGTAGTTGTGACCAATAATAATAATTTTAATGTGAACACGGCTTCCGTGGTTAACTACGACATTGGGACGTTAAACACCTCAGTTATGACTTGGTCGGGACTACGACTGCCATAAAGTACTCGAAATGTCAGTAATATAAAATAAGTAAATAATATAAAATCCATAAAAACTAAGTTTGTTTAAAGAGATATATACAAATACATAATTTTGAAGTATCCGTTTGTAATTGTCACTCGTAATGTGTAACTTATAAATTTGTAGAGCAATGCGCCAGCTTTTACTGACGGACGGATGGGCTGGCTCGAACCGGGGTAGTACCACGACCCCACATAATACTAGCGTGAAGGAAAGGTTTACTTTTGCGTTTCGATTGGTGAGTGCGGGTAGCAGAATCAATTAAGAAACTACCCCAGGAGGGTACCAGCTTACTCATGGTGACGAAGAGTCCATCCGAGACTAAGATGTCCTTCTCTTGCCGATTGATGCCCCACCTATTCTGGGGAGGCGAAATTCCGCTCTCAACTTTAACTGCTCGGGGCAAGCGGAGTAACAACACCAAGGCAACCCCTGCCACGC